GGAACATCAAAGATTATTTTCTCTGATCAAGGAAGAAATTTCATTAGTAAAACTGTTTACATTCTATATGAAAAGTTTCTTATTAAATATAAGTTCTTTTTATTATACCACCTACAGATAAATGGAATAGTTGAACATTTTAATTGAACTTTATATGAATCACTTGCTAAAGTAAAAGAAAATGATGACTGGAACTTACATATACCTCTGTACTCTTGCTTATTAAACAAAGAAGCATGCTACCACTGGATATACCTCTTTTCAGCTTGTATACAGATGATGAGCTGTTTTTCTAATTGAAGCTTTACTATCTGTTGAACTCCATGAAGAAATAGAGTATGACTTACAAAATAGTATATTGCACTGAGCATTTAAGCTTATCAACAAGCTACCTGAATTGCAGAATGATGCAAGAGAAAAGACTAATAAATCACAACAGAAACAGAAAGAATACTTTAATGCCAAAATCCATCATGAAACATTTGAAATTGGTGACAAAGTATTAATAATTAGAAAGGATATAGAACATTCTTAATTAGCTAAATTTGAAGATAAAAGAACTGAACTCTTTATTATTCAAGAAAAATTGAACAATGGTGTCTATAAACTTTGTAATGACAAAGAAAAAACATTGCAAAAGTACTATAATAGTGATCATTTTGCTAAATATTATAATAAAAAACAAATGTAAAAACCTTTTGTTTTTATCAAATAATTTGAATTTTTAGAAGAAATTTCTAAAACCAGAGAAAATGACAATAATATTATACAAATTTTTCAATGTTACAATTTATTTGAAGATTGTAATATTGGAAAATTTATATAAACATCCTTAAATTGTAGAAATTTTTCTAAAAATAGAATTCTTAAAATTATAGCCAGAAACAGTAATCACTTTAAATAATTTTCTTCAAATTTGAAAACAAAACTCTGTATCTTAAAATCATTTAAATATACTATCTCAAAATATTATTCTTTGAAGTGATAAAGAATCAGAAAAAGTTATTGACTTAAACTCTGTAATAGAAGCCTTTATAGAATTCAATATTGATAAATTTCTACAATTAGAAGAAATACAACCTTCTCTAATCAAAACTCTACTTAACAAAGTAACCACAGAGTTAGAAAGTAATAATACTAACTACTTAATTTAAATAATAAATAATTTGAAACAGATATCAGTATTAGCAACTTGAAGTATAACTAATCCTCTTTCTAGAAGAACATGAAAAGAACAAGTTAATTAAATTTTAAAATTCTTATCTACTCTTAAATGTACTCAATATAACCTTAATAAGAAAATTGAAGCTTACTATTATCTAGGCCAAATAATTTCAAAATTCAATAATCTCTCAAAGATTAAAGACCTTATTTAAAATGCTTAAGTAACAAAAAGAGCAAAGGATACTTGAAAAGATGCTCTCAGAATATATGAAGTTCTTGAGTTGCAACCAAAAGAAATAACCCTGCAGCTGAAATATGTAACTGCAATATATATCATCAAGTTGCTAGATGATAAATACATCTAACTTCTTGAATTGATTAGAATATAGAATTTATGAAATAAATTTTTAAAGATGATAGAAATGTTATAGAATAAATTATTATTATTTTATTATTATTAGTTATTATTATTTTATTATTATTATTATTTAGTATTAGTTATTTCATTATTATATTATTATTACTGATAGTTGCTAGAACTTTTCAGTTAATTAGTAATCACTTAGTTGTTTAGTTGCTTAGTTGCTTAGTTACTTAGCTGCTTAGTTACTTAGTAATTAGTTGCTTAGTAATTATTAGTCATTAGTTGCTAAAATCTTTTAGTCACTTAGTAATCAAGTAGTCACTTAGTTGTTTAGTCACTTAATGCTTAGTTGCTTATTTGCTTAATTGCTTAGTTACTTAGCTACTTAACTGTTTAGCTTACAGATATATAAACCTTGCTAAATTCCCTAAATATAATTAAGCAACAGACATCCTTCTTCTCTTTAATATTGTAAACACATCTTGGAATTTTTTAGAAACAGAAACCTAAGGATAATCTTTTTTGTTATTACTTTAATAAATAGCTTTTGACTATAAACTGTATTAATACTCTTTCTCTAAGGTAATTCCTACAAGTAAGGTTTATCTTCTCTTAATAAAATAAAGTTATTAGTATTGTATTATCTTTTCTGAACTGTCTCAGAAAAGGGTATATTTTCTTAACAATGTCTAACAAAAGCTATACTTTCCTCTTGAACACCACATACACCCATAAGAGATTTTCTGTACTGTGTCATCATTATAATATAAAATTAAGAAGGTTTATTCCTATAACACTAATATATAAATTTTAGTAAGTTTTTATATAAAATAATAAATGTTTATTATTAAAATTTATTAATTTAGAAGATGACAATTCTAGTATAGTAAGTGAGTTGTTATTCTTCAAGTAACAGATCTAGTATTCAAATCCTATTTATGACAAAATTTGAAAATTATATTTATGTTATAGTAAACTGTTTCTTAATAATTAGTTGAATTAACATATTTGTAACTTTTAGTTACATTATCTTAAATAGGAACTCAAGACATTTATACAAAATATAACATTATATATTTATAAAGAAATATTATAATTAGTATTGTATAAGACTTCAATACAAATTTATAATAAGACCACCAAGTACAGAAATAAAAAAAACCAAAGAATTAAACTCATTTAAAAATTTCTAAATAAAAAAGTAACATAAATTTTTAATAATACTATCAAACTAATAAAGACTTATAAAATATTTCTAAAAAAATAGGCAAATAAACTAAATAACAAGATATATAAAAAAATATATAATCAATCAAGTCATCAGATTTATCAAAAAAAAAGATACTAAGATACAGTATATCATATTGGACTATCTGGATTGGAAGTTTGAAAAATCTTATCAATTCTGAGTAATGATTAATAAGAAACAATAAAGAAAATGTTAGAAAGATAAGTACTGAGATTTTAATGAATTTTACAAAAATAAAAATAGTATAATATAATAGTTAAATAAATAACTCTTATAACTGTAAATGTTAGAAAATTATAATGTATTGTATAAAATTAGACCAGCTATATATAAGATATAAAAGGTTCTAGTAAGTTTCCTGTTAAAGATAAAATAGTTTTAAAGGTTTTAAAAGTATCAAGTACTTTGGATAGATGTAACCCTGAAGATGTCACCATGATACAAGTTGAGATTACATATGCAGAGGGTTTAAATAGGCAAGAACCATAGTTGGCTTGCAGGTATAACATCTAATGTAGAACCCGTATAGTAATATATAGGTGAACTACTTAAATTAGTACCAAAAACACACATGTGACTAGTTGTAACCTCTTATGTATAACAGCCCTAGCATCGCCCATAGAAAAAATACCGCTGACGTCACATTTTATATAGTATTTATATATGTTGTGTATTTCTTAATATACGAATCGCTGAGTAATCAATTTAAAAACCAGATGATCTCTCAATTTGACATTATTTATGATATATTATATTTACAAGAGACGTCAGCTGTATTTTTTTTTATGGGTGATACTAGGTTTGCTTCTTATGTATAGACACCCTTGAAAGCATCCGTGTCCAAAAGAGCTTGAATAAAAACATCAATTCCCAAAAGCAGGAACTTTAACTTAAAAAAAAAAAATCATTAATTTACAATTTTAGTCAAGTTAATAAAATAAATTAGAAAATATCTCCACATAGTTTTAAAAACATGCTCTCAATATATCATCACAAGTTACAAAATTGAATTTTCTTTGCTAGAACAGAAGTTAGAGCATTTTAAAAATACGATTTTTATAATAAAATTACTATGTTAAAATCTTAGCGCGACAATCATATAGTGCTACACTATGTTTGTAAATCATAGTCTTAGATCTGAATCTTGATCCACTATATCAAGGTTTACTTAGTCTCCGTTATATCAAGAGTCCGTTATATCGAAAGTGACGTGTATTCAATATTCATATTACTATGTTTGTTACTATTAACCGTAATATTAAAACCCTTTCCAATTGCTATTGCTTCATTACTACAACACATTGATACTGTGTAAATAATGGTAATACATTAAATATTACCTGAAGGTATGATCTCTACTATACCTTATTTAGTTTCTCATATTTTCGTCTTTTAACCTTCTTTTTCTCTATGTTTTTTCACATCACGAGTAAATACCAGCTAGGTAATTATATTCGAGCGATCACAATTCTTGATTTGTATGCAAGTAAACCAAAAATAATTCATCATTTCACTTTAGAAGGTAAAATTGAGAAATTTTTTTATTTGATTTTGTTCTCAAAAGAAAGAAGATCAACCACACTTGTGATAGAACCCTTACCTTGATTATTACGTGATGTGTATCGCGCACAGATCACCAATGTATATCTGTAAAAGAAACTTGTATTCACTACCAGAATATGTCAGTATTATGGTCTGAATCAAATAATTATAATTTCATGTAGCATAATACATTTTGTGTACATAGTGTTATGGCACTATAGACCATGAAAGTATTTTTTAAGTTTAAAAATCGATCATAATCTTTAAGATATTTTAAAAATCTGCCATCCTTGATCCCAGGTACAAACATTTTACCAAATAGTACCAATACTAATGTTTTTTAGATTAACCAAAGAAACATTAATACATAAAGAATTTTTTTATATAATGTTTTATATTTATGTACATATAAATCAATAATTAAATTGAATATGACTTTCTGTTTCAACTCCGTAAAGTTTTTGTTATTTAGAAGGAAAATAAATTTATTATATAGATGTGTACTAACTTTTATAAAGATTTTTTTTTTTTTACTATCTTTTTTAACAACATCGACTAATTAAGTTGTGCTATTAAATAATATATATATATATATATATATATAATAGATGGTGAGTAATACATTTTAAGCAACTTTGACAAATATTACAAATTACAAGAAAAAGTACATTATCATCCGATCTATTTGGTATCATTCTTTGGTAAATAGTCATACTTTGCGATTTCTTGTAATGTTTCGATAGTTATGGCCACAACAGACTCAGTCTTGCAATTTTTAATCAACAATTTCAAAATTTCGTGGACTTTAGCTTCAACTAATCGTTGACACATTTCTTTGCTAACTTTTGAAATATTTTTGAAACATTCAACACTACGATGTTGCATTTCCACCGATTCTTCAGAAATTAAGTCTTTTAATATTTCTATTCCACGTGGTCGATCAACAATCATATTACAAACATCGGGACTTGTTGTTAAAATTGCCAAAGCACCACTAGCTGCTCGTCGAGTTTCAAAATCTTCAACATCAGAAAGTGCAACTAATATTTTAATTTTGTTCGATGACATTTGAGGATCACTATACATATTATAAACCGGTTCGCAAAACATCATATTACATAGACATTCAGTTGCTGCCCGACGAATCATGACATTATCAGAAAATTGTAAATTTTCTATAATTGGGATTCCTTTAGCGTCATGTATCCGCATTCGAATATCATTATCTAAACTTCCTAAATTTGTTAAAGCCATCAAAGCTTCAAATTGGCAAAGTTCACTTCCTCCTTGACATAAAGAAAGAAAAGGACGTACAAGATCTGAAGCTCTTTCACCACGAAATGCCAAATTTGGATCCATTGTAATGGCAATTTTTGCCAAAGCGTGACTTGCAAGCTCGGTAACTTCTTTTGTATTTTTAGTAGCTAATGGGATCAAAGCTTTTATGCCGCCTTGCTGAACAATTGCACCTCGATTACTTTGATCTGTTGCAAGATTAAGAAATACTTTTGCCACTAATTGTCGAATCGCTTGACTAGAATTTTTTGTCATGATAATTAATGGACGAATGACACCAGATTTCATAACTTGTTTCGTCCGATTAATCACATATTCGTCATCATCTATAGGATCTTGATCGATCTTTAAGCTTTCTCCTGACATTTTCTTTAATTTGAGAATCTGTTCTTCAGATTCGTTCATTTTTTTCTTGTATGTGGTAACATTAGCCAAGATAACTGCTACTCCATAAAATAATGCATTATTCGTCTTCTCCGAGTCTTGCACAAGTTTAAATATTTCTTTTAACAATGTTGGATGATAAGCGATCGTTTCTTTCACTGCGGGTTTTAAACTAGAATAAGCTAATCCTTCAATAGCATTTATACGGGCGGTGATTTCCGAATCAGTATCCAAAACCATATTTTGAAATAGACCTGCCAAAAGCGTCTCATTTTCGTCAATTACTGAAATTTTATTGTCATTTTGTTGTTGTTCTGAGGCTTTTTCATCTAACAAAATTTTTGTTAATGCAACAGCCGCTAAAGTTTTTAGTTTTTGATTGTTGCTAGTCATTAAACTTGTTAAATATTTTTGACAATGGATTGCTACTAAAGCCCTACAATCCTTTTGTGAGCAAGCCACAGATATTATTTCAGTAATAGCTCTTTGAACATCTTCATGTTCATATTCGATACAATCCATTATATCTTCTAAAATACCATCCTTTAACAAAATGAAAGAACCAATATCGCAAGATATTTGAAAAATTGATTCGAGTGCACCATATCCGTATAATTTTTCTTGTTTTTTAGTTGAATTTAGCCATTTAATAATAAATTTTGAACTATTTTGTTTAAATAATTCCATAGAATTTTTATTTTTTTGTGCATTTTCAAATAATTTCGTTAAAATTAACAACGACAAAGGTTTTATTTTTTGTGAGTTGGAAGAAAGGTTACGCAAAATATCTTCATATTCGTTTGATGCTACTAATGTTGAAGAATAATTTGGTTCATTTACAATTTTTTGTAGAAGAGTATTTAAAGATAATATTTGTGCATCCTCGTTTTCACTCATATTTTGGTTTAAAAAAAGGTTAACATGGTGAATACGTATGTAGGTTTTGTCGTTATTATTATTGGTTAATTGCGTTGCGCAGATGATCCCTAATTTTTTGATTTCAAGAAAATACCCCCGAAAATGGGTGACGTCAAGAACTTCGATATGAGTTAGAGATTGTACCCGAGCAAATCCAGCGTTACCAACAATCGAGAACGACCCTAGCATCGCCCTCAAAAAATGGTAAAATTCATTATCAATAACGAATAAAAATTTTTTTTTTCTTCTACCATCGTTACTGCTGTGCTGTTATTGCTTAAAATTTTTATGAACTTTGCTTATAGTTTTATACTACTTTATATTTATTGAATTTTTTTCTCTTTGATTATTAGCACATTAAATCAAAAAAATTTTTTTATAATAATAAGTTCTTTTACTATGTCAGATCAACAACAGGATCCATGCTATTCAAATAATAAAGATTATTGGAATGAAAAATGAATCAAAGTAAAAAAATTTTACGATGCGAAACCAAATTAAATTATCATGTTCAAGAACAAACTATAAAATTTTATCTTGCAAAAAAATTATCTAAAGTTCAAATATTTTTAGAATAATAGTAATAATGAAATAAATATGACAGTTTATTTTTTAAATCTTGAATATTTTTTTGGTAATTTAAATAAATTACCATCCATTATAACCTTTGGATCATTGAATTAGTCTCATAAACGCCTTTTATAGTACTAAAAATTTTAAGCGATTCATGTTATTCATTAAAAAAATTCTTATGAAAAACTTGGACCATATTTTATTGTTGATAGGACATTTTCTGATTACGTAGCGGTAGTAATTGAATTGTTCATAATCAAATAATAACATCTACCCGGCAGATCTGTCCGGCTACCATTATTTGAGGGCGACGCTAGGGTCGTTAACAATCGAGGGTGCGGTCACGTGATTACCTGACCTCAATGCAACAGAAGTGATTCCCTCTCGCCTGTGAAATCACAAATTAAATTATTTATGTAACATTAACGGTCAGCAACTTTTTTTAACAAATTTTGGAGTTGGTATAGAAGAACATAAATTACTTTTATAAAAAAAATTTTACCAACTTTTACTATAAGAACTAACATTTCATTATTTAAAGCTATATTCAAAATTTTTTTTTTCTATTCGTTTTTAACTCATATTTCGTCGCAAATAAAAGTGACGTAGAAACACAAGAAAACACTATAACCAAATAACTACAACATACATTATAGTGAAGTTATGCTTGAAAAAATAATTCACTGTAACTTATATTAACAGAATACTAAATATACTTTACAAATTCTTTATTATGTCAAGAGTTTACTATAACAAAAGTGGACTGTATTTGGACAAACATGTTCTTTTCGTTATATAAATTGGAAATATATAATTCAAAACTCTACAGTCTTTTATAGCTTTTATTGAATTTTTAATTTAGTACATGAAATGCATATATTGTTTATAAATCCAATTAAAATCGAAGCTTACTACTTTATAATGAGCATGAAATTTTAAGTTTGTATTGAGTTTTTTTAGAACTCTACAATCTTTTATAGTTTCTATTGAATTATGTATTTGTATTAATTTGTTTTATGAATGCATATTCTTTAATAAATCCAATTATAGCCAAAGCGTATTATAATTTTCTTTAAAATGAGTTGTATTTGTATATTCGATAATTGTATAATACCGAACCCTGATTAATCTGAACAAAAAAAGTAAAAACTTTTTATTCATATGCAATTACACTGGTCATTTCGAACAATATTAGTAAAACTTAATAAACTAGATCTGAACATGAAATAAATAGTACATTTGATCAAACTTATAAGTATACTGTTATGGGTAAATCCGACCCTAGGACCATGAGGAATAAACGTGTAACGACACCCGAAACGCCCCATGAAAACCATCGTGCCACGATGCTCGTGACCCAGGACAAAACCTATAGGATAACTTTCTCGTGATTAGTCAATGAAATTGAATGATTATCCATAATTGGCTAAACATTCGAACATGTGATAATTAACCAATAAAATTTAAAGGTTGCATGTAGTTAGGCTTTCGAACGATTTTTTCTTTATTCAAATATCTTTGGGTTTTAAAATTTCTTATATTAACATAACA